TTTTGTGACTTGCTAACTGCCAGGTCTCAAATTTGAGGCAATATTTTGAGACTAAAGCTAGAGACTGTTTAGTGAATAGTAACTAGTCACAAATTGAGATTTTACCACAAAATGTCTCAAATAGAGACTAGAGACTGGTTACAGAATCCCGCTATAAATATACAATTCGTAAAGTCCATTTGGTTAATGTTCAGGAGAGCGGCTTTTCCGAAAACGTGCACCAATTTTCACTGGAAATGTTACGAGTATATATGGCGCGTTATCTATTTTCATATTTCGTTGCAATAAAAACAATAAAAATTATTACGATTTTGCACGATATTTACGCTTTAAATGGCATCACTATTCGAAATTCAATTGGGAACTAGTGATAMAAGCAGTGATCGGTTTCGAAATATCGATACTCTCGATATTCGAGACTGAACGAGAATTTGCAAAAATGAGATATACATAAACTATGTTCCTACCGCCTTTGAGAACATTTTGAAAACACATTTGTATGTTGTGGAATCTAAATTGTTCGGACCGACAACATGTATTTTCGATGAGTTTTCACTGACAACTATCAAAAGCGGCAGTCTCTTGTTCTTGCAAGATTGCACGATGACACAAAGTGAAAAAGCCCTATACCGAAATATGCAAGGCCACGAGAACACCTATTGCAGAATTTAGTGATATATGGCGGCACGAAAATAAACGGGTTTTGGTGTGACATATTTTACAATCATTGCAATCAATTTTCTGCGTGGGGTTGTTGTTATGCCGTTGCACCAAATGGAACATTATGCGATTTCTGCCCGGTGCAAGCTTTTGCAAGAGCAAGAGAATCCCCCACATATGAGAATATCAAGCAACAGCTGTATTTGTATGTGGAATGTAAATAAATATCAAGTGACAGTTTTGGGATGGCAAAACATGTCTTCCAAAAACATCTATTAAACTAGAGAAGGCACCGATTATAATGAGTGGAATGTAAGTTTTCAAGTAGTTTTCAGCGAAAACTGTGTCTTTGTTTTACAGATTTTACATGGACGAAAACAACAGTTCGTGCGAAAACCAGTTTTTCCCACGAAAACATGTTTTCGCTGTCGGTCCGAACATGGTATAATAGAAAAAAAATAATAATAATTGGAAAAATAAAAAGAAATTTAATTATCGATATTGTCAATATTCGAGTCTGAAAGAGAATTGGTAAAAATGAGAAATATATAATAACATCTAAAGGCGTGTTAAGTGTAAACGTGAATTTTTTATTTCGAGAAATACGATGTTTTCTTATTAAAACAAAAAAAATGTTGGTTTTAAAGGCACGCGCCTTACATATTCGTAAAGTGTAATTAAAAACGAGTATTTTAAGACATTTCCAGTGAAAATTGGTGCGCGTTTTCGGAAAAGCCGATTGCCGTTGATGTTTTTTAGTTAGTCAATAAAAGAAATTGGTTTAATGTTATTTTTATAAAAATATGAAAAACTTCACAATAACTTCGCTTCAACAAAAATGGCAAGGTTATGTTCGAAATTATGGAATGGCTGTTGTAAATTCGAATGGCCACTTGATTCATGCACTAATCGTTTTCGAATTATCGATTTTCTCGATATTCGATACTGATCGAGAATCGGTAAAAATGGGAAGTATATAATAGGAAAATTTATAATTCATTATTATTGCAGAAAGAAGAAGAAGTTGGACACAGAGGAATTATGAACACCGGGGTTTTCGACCGACTAGGGTTATTTTATTTCTCATTTTTACCAATTCTCTTTCAGACTCGAATATTGAGAATATCGATATTTTAATTTCTTTTTATTTTTTTCATTTATCATTATTTTTCCATTATATATCTCTCATTTTTACAAATTCTCTTTCAGACTCGAATATTGAGAATATTGATATTTTAATTTAATTTTCTTTTTTTCAATTATTATTTTTCTATTATGTATATCTTATTTTGAGCAATTCTTGTTTAGTCTCGAATATATAGATTATCGATATTTCGAAACAGATCATTGCTTGTATCACTATTGAACTTCGAACAGTGGTGCCATATATAGCGTAAATATCGTGCAAAATCATAGTTTTAACGGATTTATTACAAAAAAAACATAAAAATAGGTAAAGCGCTATACATATTTGTAAATTTGAATCAAAAACACGAGTTTTAAGACCTTTCCCGTGAAAATTGTTGCACGTTTTCGGAAAAGCCGCTCTCCTGAACCTTTAGCGTCCTTTGGCTGTGTTCCAAACGGTAGAAAATTTAAAATTTTTAAAAACAAAGGTGAAATTTTATGTTTTTCGTGGTGAATCCAAATGTGAAAGTTTTATCCGAACTAGATAAAATTTTCACAATTTATAAATGTGAATACAGATATGCATTTAGGAATTAATTAATATAAAAGAACCGATGCATACGTAAGAGATATATTATAAAATAAAATACACAGTAGGGGTATCCGCTTGCTCTTGCAAAACCCTTGCACGGTGCAAGAATTGCATATATTTCCTCTTGGTGCACCGGCACAAAAACAAACACACGCAGAAAATTATTTGCAATGGCTGTAAAATATGTCAGACCAAAACCCATATATATTTGTGTGCAATGTTACGCAAAAATATAATTGCAACCCGGTTTTAGCTGTCATTTTACATAAAGACAGATTACGTCGTTGAATTGTTGAGGAAGGCAAGTTTTAAATATATTTTATAATTTCTACTTAAACTATAAAGATTTGTTGCAGATGACAGAGAACGCGGAGATCGTAAAAATATTTTTGGCTAACTCGGTGGAGATGGAGGAGTTTCCCCACTGCCATCTCGGCAGGAGAAATTTTAACATTTTCGTTTGAACAGAGCTGAGCGTGAAATAAAAATTATGCTCAAAACTATATATTGCGCTAACAGACGTATGTTCGCTCTTTTACTTATATTTCTATACGGTTTACATGCAGACATGTGTATTCATATGAATTCTCTTTGTGCATATTTATGAATGCAGGTGCAATTGAATACACTTTAATTAAATAACCGTTCAGCTCTCGTGCCCTGTTGTTGTTGTTGTTGTTATAACGGCTGAATTCTGCCGAGTTGACAGTCTTTGGCCGGATAAAAATCCGTGTCCGTTCCGGTTTTCGTAGACCCGACTGTCGTGGGAACGGCCCTTGTATAATATCGGTGTAGTATTATTGCAATCTGCAATCTTGCTAGAGCAAGGGAACCCCTCTAGTATCTTATGCCTATACAAAATTATTAATTTGTTTATGTTATATTAATTATATGTTTCAGTTTGAAATTAACGAAGTTTCTTCTGTTTTCATTAATATTTTCATTAGAAAGCAAATAATTTGCTTTTCACTTAATTAATTTTTTTGAATATCTTAAATAACTTAAATAACAAGGCAACTATGTTTATTTTGAATTTCGACTGTCCAAATTTTATTTTCAATCTGGCAAAGGAAACTATACAATTTGTATGCACCAAAGGAATGTTTTCATCTCAACTCAACAAAGAGAAAATGTTACCCTTTTGACACCATATATATACATATTATTCATAAATTATGTACATATGTATATTGAGAGTCGTTTGAGTGTTGTAAATTAACGAACGATAATGTATTATTGGAATTAGCATTATTTAAACAAATTTTTAAGTTGACCGTATTACGAAATGGAATAAATGCAACGCTTCAAGTTTACTGAAAAAACTATTTATGTTGGCAATGCTTAAACCAAAATGGGGAAACTTCAGAAAGTGTTTGTCAACTCTACGCTCTTTCCGCTTTTTGACAGCTGCTAAGGTAGGCTGTTGTTGAAATTTTTTTTATAAAAATCTAAGAATATTATTTGCATCACAAATTATAATTCTATAGTAATACGGGTGACTTTAGATACAATATTTTCTTATTACATTATCGAATTGTTTAATAAATTATGTTCACTATGTGGATTGTTTTCAGCAATAATGGCTGTACGATACGAACTCTGCGTTGGTCTCAACAAGGGACATAAAACATCGAAGGTGAAGAATGTTAAATATACTGGAGACAAAAAGGTGAAGGGACTTAGAGGATCCCGTTTGAAGAACGTAAGTATATATAAATAAATAATTCGTATATACATACTTATAGCAATTTCTTTAGATTCAAACCCGGCATACTAAATTCATGCGCGACTTGGTGCGTGAAGTTGTTGGACATGCTCCCTACGAGAAGAGAACCATGGAATTGTTGAAAGTTTCAAAGGATAAACGTGCCCTGAAATTTTTAAAACGTCGGTTAGGCACACACATTCGTGCGAAGAGGAAGCGTGAGGAGTTGTCTAACATCCTCACACAAATGAGAAAGGCGCAAACTCACGCAAAGTAATTGAGCAAAAATGTTTATTAGAAAACTTAGAAATAAAATAAGAACAAGTGTTCTGCAAAAGAATTGTGAAAAGTGTTGTGATTCTTAACTTATACATAGACGGAATACTTGCCAAGTACTAATTTACCACAAGGCCTGGACAATTTAGTTATCAGATGTTAAATGATTCCTATTAAAGGATACATTTCTATAACAATAGTGAAACTTCATGTAAATAGTTTTGTAAGCTTGTAAATGACCTGCCATTTCTTCTCTTCGTGAATAAGTGCTCTAGATATTTGGATGTTGTAAAATTTAGAATAGCATCCCCGGATTTCGGATATAAAATGGGTATCACTGGAAAGGTGACGTTCTCCAGATCACGCATATATATATATATATATAGTTGCCGCTGACTTATGGTTTTAAAGATATTTGCATTTAAAGTTGAAAAATTGACAACTTTTACATTGATAATTTGTATATTGCGAATAACTTTTTCACTTATATTATGCACTTTTCACTTACTAACACTTCACTATGAGGTTTCTGTATATTAATTTTTTTTAATATCTGTTGTAAATAAAGCTTGATTTTTGAAGAGCGGCGCGAAAAAAAGAACCATGGCAACCCTTTTCTTATTGTGCAAATGCACAGAATTTAACTAAAATAAAATAATTAAAATAAACATTGTAGAACAATGCTTCAATTTTTTGTTGGTGACACATTCACATGTGTACGCATATGTATGTATGTATGATTGTGTATTATTTGTTCTGAAGTGTATAGAAATATATGTATGTATGTACATATAAGTATATATGAATGTATCAACAAGCAGATTAATGCGCGCATATGTAATATGTATAAGTGATAAAATCATAATTTGACTGAACGCGCACATTCGTATACATATAAGCAAATAATAAGATTCATATCAGAGACCTGCAATGGGATTATGATTTAAATTATTTAGATTATGATTTTATGGTATATTAAAACAACTGACTTTCGATATTTCAATACTTAATAAGGTGAATTAAGCCTGTTAGTTCTAAATAAATAAATGTTTTTAATCATTTGTAATAGAAAATTAATTCCATTATTCACCAAATTACAAAACGTTTCATAATATATATTTAAATTTCGCATTTTCTTTGATTTTCATTATTTTAAATTTTTATTAGCGATCTTGAACGGCGGCATTAAATTCCTCCGTTCACATATATTTTTGRTATAATTTCAATCTGGCCGTTCCAGTCATTCCAATTGCAAAACGTCAAAACCTACTCAATCCAGTCAACTGTCAAAGTTCGGTAGGTTTTGACGTTTAGCAATTGGTCTCTCACTTCCAGTGAGAGAGAAGTTGGGGATCTCATTATCTCTGATTGAAATCTTAGCAAAAAAATATGTAAACGGATGGATTTGTTGCATGGTTCAATACCACTTATAAAAAATGTTAAACAATGAAAATTAAATAAATTTGTGAAGTTTAAAGGTATTTGATGAAAGGTTTTGTAATTTGAAGCATTATAGTATTATTTTCAATGGAAAATGATTAAATCCTTTTATTGGGCATTGAAAGGTCAAATATGAGTTGTTCTAATAAATAACCACTATATTGTAATTTTTATTGGTACTAAATGTTGGTTGTTTTAATTTAAATGCCCAAAAATTATTATTTTGCCCAATCTGGTCATAATGGAAAATGTTATAAAAAACGGTAATCTATTGCTATTGGCATTGATAAATCTTTATGTGTGCATTTGTTATCACACCAAAATCATTTGCGAAATGCCGTCGGGTAGATAGGTTCGAGCCAAGAATGATAGAGAAAGAGATTACGTAATGCGCATGTTTGCTTTCAGTCAGCTGTTTTTGCTGACGTCACGGTTGACTTATTATTCGTCCGCGCCTTTGAATTTGAATCTGAATTGTATTTTCGAGTGTAGTATTAATTGCGACCTTTTATTTATTTTAAAATGCGTTGCGCAGTGTTCGGATGCTATAATAACAATGTTAAAAATATTGCTACGGAGTAGAGATTTTTAAATTCCCTAAAGATAAAACAGTACTAAAACAATGGATTCATTTTTGTCGTCGGGCGGACTAAATTCATGTTAAAAATGAGTTCATTTATGAAGTACACTGTACTCCAGAAGCTTCCGAAAGCAACTTGCAGTTTATAATGGGTAATAATATCGATTTGATTACAATAATAGTACGTTTATAACCAAACACTCTTGCAGGTTTAAGTTCGAGGAATCCGACGAAGTTACTACCTACCGCTTTTCCCACGTTAAGCACTGCTCCTGGAGAGGTTAGTGAACGACAGAAAAGGATGTAGTCTCGTTTAAACCAGGACGTTTTAGAAATTTTTTGGCGTCATCAGGTTAAAAGGCGGTCTTCACAATCACCCTGACAGGCAGGAATTGAAATATAGGCTCCGTTCACAATGAAGGAAATGTTAAAGTCGACAACACATCAGATTTGGAAGGGAATTACTTATCTCTAATCGGTAATTATCAAAAAATTAAGTTGTCATAAAAGTCTTGCGTGTTAGCGCGTGAAATGAGCTTTCCAAAAAGGTATAAAACTAGAACTACGCGTTCTCAGCGCCAACTAGCGAAAATACCGCAAAACTTTTTTGACAACTAATATTAAACGTACATAGTATTATAAACCTAAAACTACAGAAAACATTCTTATATAAAAATGTATTGATGTTAACAAATGCAAATATATACTTACATATAAACTAAGTTTTTGCATACTAACCGCTGTTTCTTATCTTAATTATAATAATAATCTTAACCAACAGTTTTTTTCCTTTTATTTATACGCATGTATGTATGTTTATTATATTTTTRCAGGTAATATTTTTCAACGTGATTTGGAGATTCTCAACAACGACGGACTTGAGCATTTGGCAGGGTATATCGGCAATAAACTCGGTAAAGACAACCCCCAAATTTGTGCCAATTCACAAAATTGTTCATCTTATACTTGGGTGGGTACCCTTTCTGAAGGAGAACTCTCAAAACCAACAGATATGTACATACATATGTTGATGGAGCATATGAGAGCCATGCAAGCAGTATTTGACGACACAGGTGTACTGATTTGCATATACATATGTATGTACAAATTATGTTCAAAAGCACTTAGATTTAAGTAAGTTTGTAAACCGTTGCACGAAAGTAAAAAACTGTTTTTTTAGAGCTAGAGTGTATTTTAGGATTCGTTCCTTAACCCTTAAATGCCCAAGGTCTCAGATTTTCGTAAAAAATGTATATGTTATGTAAAAATATATGTGGAACGTGGTTCCTTAGACGATTTTTTGAAAAAAATTACTTTCAGAGAAATTAAGGCCCTTGGATCGATGTTTCCGGATAGTGACCGCATTGCTTCACTTGCACCCGATAGTCTATGGGACTTCATTAATTCGCTGGGGCTAAGTGAGTCAATGTGATTCAGGAGAGAACACAATAGAAAAAAGGTCGGGGTGCATTCCTCATCTTTGAACCAATCAAATTTGCAAATTTCCACTGGAAATCCTAACTCTATCTATAAAAGGATTTTATATGTTAACTTAATTAATACTTGATATAAATTCGAAGCTTTGAAAATGCAGCAGAGCATTACTAAGCAATGAGCAAATATTGTTTGCACTACGCAAGGAGAAGTAAGTAAGTTCGAGAGGGGTTTGAGGTTAAATAACGGCTGACTTCATTTAATATGGATAGACAGGTCGAACAATGTAAGGATAAAACAAAGAAGAATATAGAAATGGTATACAGAGTTGCAAGGGGTACATAGTTCTACTGTAACGACCGATTCTGCATTGTGATACTTGTGACTTGTGACGATTTTGTAATTCTGTAAATGACAGTCACAAAAATCTATTACATTTCATTATTTAGAGATGTATTTATACCTGAATGAAAATAAATATTTCGATAACACATATCAAATTTTCTATGTCACAGTCAAAAACAATAATTACCAATAAAAATAAAAATGTATCTGGATTGTTTCAGAATATTTACAAAATTTGTGTGAATTTCATTTATTCTTACTTTTTTCGTGTTTGAGTTGCTTCTTTTTTATTGGCGTAGACACCGCAAACACGATTATACCAATAAAGCGATATTAACAACAGTTGCTTACAAAATATAAAAAGTCGACAATCGAATAATATCTATGATGATCTCTATTCAGTATTTTGAAAATTGCAATTTAAAAATAGCATTTTAGTTTTGTGGCTTGCTATCTATAAGGTCACAAATTTGGAACAATATTTTGTGACTAAATACTAGAGACTGTGTTGTGCACTGTAACTAGTCACAAATTGAGACTTTAGCTCAAAATGTCTCAAATAGTGACTAGAGACTGTTTACAGGCTTTCGCTATTAAAGTAGTATTTTATTTCGGACAGTTGCCTGTTCCAGTTACCACTTTCTACGGTAGCGACGGTGTTGTCGACTACCTGAAGTTATTTTGATATGAACTTAACACTTTGAGTTTCCTTCTAAAACTGTTTTATTTGATAATGTGTAAGCTTACAGCTAGCCTACCATTCTTACCGTAGCTGCTGCCGGTAGCGTAGGTCTTTAATTGTCGGTATACGTAATTCAGCGATGTGCCGCAAGTTTGCTTCTCTTAGCTTGTGGAGAAATGGTAGGCTTAGTAGGGTATGATGAGAGGTTATGTTGATCCGAGCTGAGGCAGACTGTTGTTCAAGTCTCTTCGGGTATCCATTGCGAGTAAAGTATTTGGTGCCATTGATAAAAAGCGGTGCGTTCGAGTGTAACAAGATTAGTGCCATTAATAAACATTTCAGGGCCATTATCTGTGCTAGCTTTGACTATTGCATCGTTTATCAAATCGACAATGGGGGATAAGTCGCTGAGCTTGGTGGAACAGTGTGCTACAGAACCGGAGTGTAGGCTTTGTGCGCAAGTTTCAGTTTCGGCCTCTTTACAGAACGTTGCCATTAGCGTATCAATGCTGGATATAACAGCAGTGAAACGGGAAAAATATTTATTTTCTTTCATAATACCTTAGGTCTAATAAAACAAAAATTTCTAGCTTTGCTAAACAATTGGCTTATTGTACCTCATGTGAAACTCTCCTTCATAACCGCCTCCAAATCACTACTGCATCGACAATAGCAGGGTTTATTATATTAAATTTAGCCAGTGTGATTGCAATTAATCAATTTTGAGTCTCTGGTGCTAATATTCTGTTTCTAGCCAAAAGTATTTCATAGAGGCGCGACGAATCTATTTGTTCCCTTTTTTTTTACATCGAGAATCTTATTGACCGTATTCGTGAGGACGTTAATCTGCTCCTGAGTTTTGGAATTAATGACGATCTTATTATTGTTTGACTGTATTAGTTCTTGATCCGTTAGTTTTGTTTGTAGTAAGTCATTGAAGGCAGGCGTGCCGGCTATTACCTTCAGGGCGGAGCCCAAAAAGGTTAGGCTCCGAGCATGCCTATGGTGTACTCTTAATGTCCCTAATAAAGTACGTAAATGCCTGGTGTCTATTTCTAGGATCTTCCTCATGTGTGATTGTGGGAAGGCGCTAATCAAGTCTGTTGTTTCTTGTATGTATTGTCCATATTCCGTTAAGTTTGATATATGCCTTTTGTACCTCGTCTCGTTCCAAATTACTGCAGTACCGTCTAGCATCGGTATGTAGTCCGCGTACGAGTAGTCCGTTAATTTGGAAGCTGTCAGCGCGGCCGAAGTCAAAAGTGTGAAGATGGGCGTGTGCCTGAAATTCAAAATAAAAACTATGTAAAAAAGGTATTATTTCGAGAGTTTCACTTGAGGTTGTCCTTGTGGACTACCCTACCTTTAATAAGAACGGTTGTTCCTAGGTCAGCGTCAATCCTTTCCTCGAAATACAGTGGAGTGACCTTGTCGCCTAGTCTCTTGTTGGACCTTACCGGGCGGTACGCATTACTCCGCTCCAGCTGTTCTTGTTGGGCTTTCTGTAGTCTGGCAGCAATATCCGGGAAAATGTGTAAGCTGGCATGGATAACCTCAATCGGCTTCATGCCCGTCACTGAATGGAACGTCCTATTATATTCCACGGCGGCCTGAAGAAAGAGTTCAACTACGTTTTGTATCTGCCTTTGCAGTTTTAGACATCTGGCGATTTCCATTAATTAAATCCATTGAATTAAATGAAGGTTCGTTGTCACAGTACACAGTTTTTATTTCCGCCGCTGCATCATAAGCGGCTTGATCGTACTGCTTTTCATACATCTCGCTTCTTTCCTCCGTCAAATAGTCTGACGTCTGTAGTCCGACGTTCTTCGAGAATTCGCAGGTCTCTTCAACGCGCCTTGACTATTGTTAAAAGGATGTGCTATAGGTAAGCTTGAGTTATGCGTAATCTGGTTGTTATGGTTTGGAAAGTTAGTGCTCTGACGGAACCTCGAGAATGGATTGACCTCAATTTTCTCAACTTGGCCACGCTTTGGAGGGCGAGTTCCTTGCTCCCTGGTGAAATAAGGGTTTTCTCCAGTCCTCCTCCAGACTGGTTTTCTCCAGTCCTTTAGGAATGTCGGACTGCTTAACAAAACGAAACGTTCATGGGTCTGATCAAAATACAGAAGCTATCTGACCTTATACAATAAGGAGATTAGGTCTGCAAAGCAGGCGAGCTTCAGGAGATTCTGCGAGAATGTCGCCTCCAGAAGTGGCTCGGCTGCACAGAGCTCTGGCCAGGGGCACAAATGACACAGAAATAGCAATTAAAAGAAGTGATGGGACATTTACGAAAAGCGCAGAGGACAGAGCCACGTAGCTTCTACGCGTGCACTTCCGGGAAACAGTTCAGGAAGACCAATGTCTACCAGTGATCGAACACGGGTCATCCCGCGAGGATTGGAATATCGCCAAACAGCTATTTACGGCGGACTCGATCAGATGGGCAATGGCCTCGTTTGAGAGATTCAAGTCTCCGGGAGTGGATGGCATCTTTCCGGCGCTGTTACAACAGTGTGAGCAGTTTTTACTGCCTCACCTGGGTCGGCTGCTGAGAGAGAGCCTTGCAATGGCGTACATCCCCGAAGTATGGAGGACAGCGAAGGTCATCTTCATACCCAATGTAGGAAGGCACAACTACTCATTGGGAAAATTTTTCAGGCCAATCAAGCTTACGTCTGCTCACAAAGGGGTGTGTTATCACCCCTGCTCATAAAAATTAATAATCGACAATTGTCCTTGCCTTAGCGTTGCTAGCTCTTGCTCGAGCAGATGCAATGGTCGCTTGTCTGAGCATGTAAAATCTAAACGACTAATCATAGCGTCGAAATTAAGGACCGTGTTGAATGATGCTAAAACTGCATCAGCCGATTCCCTAATTCTGTTGCGAATTATGAGGACAGCTTGGTAGTGTTTCGAATAACCCACGTAGGAGACATATTGCTCCTGTGAGCCATCGAACTTTGGAAGTGATTTGACTGCATCCAGGCCTCCATGACATTCTACCACGTCTATAATATTTATTGGTTCGTAAGTCTTAATTTCAGCAGTAGCCACAGTTGTGGCCAGAAACTGGTTTTTAAGCTGCCCTAGCTTACTTTCAAAGTCTTTCCTTTGTACTTGTAGTGCGGCACTGACCGTCGCATTGATAATACCCTGCAGGGTTTGTTAATTCATGTCTTGTTCGCGCCTGAGACGTGTGCTTGTCAAAAGTTGGTTGTCAAGTCTGTCCAACAGTTCACTGGTTTCAAGTTTGCTCATGCGAGGTAGTTAAGATGGCACGGACGGGTAGCGGACGTAAGTACACAAAAAAAGACCAAAAATAGGAAACAGGAGTTCAAAGTACAACCCTGATTTCGTTATAATAAATAGTGTTGTACTTTGAACTCCAACTTAACTATTATAACCAAAACAGGGTTGTACTTTGAACTCCTGTTTCCCATTTTTGGTATTTTTTTGTGCACTAACCACATTGTCAAATTATCACTAATATAATTATAAACCGAAGGCAGAGAGAAAAAAAGTTTTACTTACATAATTTATCCGTGGGGTCTTGATTCCTCTGCCTCCAGTTGATGGTGATGGTGGTGGGCCACCGTGGGTTACCCCACGTTGGGCGCCAGTTATTTTATTCCGATAGTTGCCTGTTCGAGTTACCACTTATATAAATTATTTTAAATCTCTATTTCTGAACCTACCTACTACGTGAAGTTATTTTGAAATGAACTTAACACTTTGAGTTTCCTTCTTAAACTATTACTTACAGCTAGTCTACCATTCTTACCGTCGCTGCTGCCGTTAGCGTCGGTCTTTAATTGCTCATGCATTGCACTGATCATCAAATTACAGCAGCTGACCAAACATTTAATTTTTCAGACTGCAAGCATTGCAATTTTTGGCAGCATGGGAACTGCAGTACGTTAACTACTGTTAACTCATAGACTTAATACTATTTACTACGAACTATTTCGCCTCCACAAAACCTCCTCCCGAAGTAGAGAGCTTATGCTTAAAATTTTATGGCCAATTACTGTCCTTCAAATGGTTAAAGCCATAGTTGATCTACTGGCATTTTCTACTACTTTTTGTGCTCTTTAGTCTCATAGATACAGCCAAATACATCAAAGCGCCGATTAATCTTGGATATGTGTATTTCGCATTATCGCCTCGTTTTTACTTTATTGATTCCCAGATGGTTTTCTGCGATATATGAAAATATATACTCAAAAACGGTTAACCGATATCCTTATCATAATTTGGCGAGAGCGCTTCCTCCATTGTTTTAACCCACTTCCATTGTTTAATGCTAACAACAAATCATCTAGGTATATTATGGCCAACATAATCTTACAACTACGTACGTAAAAACATGGATCAAATTTCGTTGATTTTAGTTCAATCTTGTTTAGAGTTAATAAAAATTTGAGCAGTATTACAATGTGTCATCGACCAAGTGGGGCGAGTTTAACGCATTTGGTTTGGTTTCCAAAATAGCTTCAAATGGAGCAATGTTTAAATGGTTCCAAATGGTTTATTATTATATTACATT